CCATAGCCGACCTTCAGTTTCTCGCAGTTGCTCCGCGTTGTGTGCTGCATCGGCCACCACCGGAGTTTTGTTTTTGAGTTCTTTTACGTTCCGCGTTGAAAACGTGTCTTTTCTTTAGATACTTTCAATATTTCGGGCTTTATTTAATCATTTGATATCTATATTTGAACATAGCCCTTGTTTTTTTCGTATTTATAGAATGGAATCGGACTGCGAATCGATCGACGATACAAGATTATGGCCTAGGCTTCAGAGACCATTAAGCTCATCACATTTTATTGTTTTTATCGTTAATCAAGGGCAGTCAACACCACTGCGACACAAAAATTTGAACTGACGCAGTAAGGCTATCGCAGTCGTGCTTTTCGCTGCATGTGCGCGCTTTAGACATTGTTTCTGTAAGTAAAAGCCGAACCGCATGTAAGCACTCTCTCGAGCAGCGAGACGAGCGACAAGGATGAGAGTCGACGACGAGGATTTCTCACTGTCGCCCGTCGCATTGCTCGGTTTCTGGATTTCTAAAAACGTCGCTCATCGTCTTGGTCGCTTGCTCCCGTCGCTCCCATGCGGTTTGCCTCGTCACGCAACTGATCGAGCGACAGCGAAGCGAGTCGCCGTCGCTTGTCTCATCGCTCGCCAAATTGCTTGCGTGCGGTTTATACTTAATTTCGATGCAGCACTGAACCATTGGCGCCTCAATATTAAGTAAAAACTGCATGCAAGCGATTTGGCGAGCAACAAGACAAGCGACGGCGACCCGCTTCGCTGTCACTCGGTCAGTCGCGCGAGAAGGCAAACCGCATGGAAGCGACGGGAGCAAGCGACCAAGACGATGAGCGACGTTTTCTAGAAATCCAAAACCCGAGCGCCGCGACGGGCGACAGCGGGAAATTTTTGTCGCTGACTCGTCGCTCGCTAAAGCGCTTACATGCGGTTCAGTTTTTATCTACGGAAACGATGTCTATAAACGGAAACGGCGCGCACATGCAGCGAGAAGCACGACTGCGATAGCGTCACTGCGTCAGTTGAAATTTTCATATGTCGCAATGGTGTTGGCTGACCTCTATTAGCGACAAAAACAAAAGAATGTGATGAACTTATATGGTCTCTGAAGCCTAGGTTATAATCTTGTATCGTCATTCATTCGCTGTCCGATTCCATTTCATAAACAAGAAAATACAAGATCTATATAGAAATATAGATATCAAATGATTAACTGAAAGCCTGAAATGTCAAAAAGACCTAAAGAAAACACTCGACACTAAGGGTGCACTCAGACAAGAGTTGTTACCTTGGTATTTTATCCAGAAGGTCACCTAGCAATTCACTGTGTACATTGTGACTGCAGGTCCAACTTAGAAAAAGACTAGTGCCATGGGCTTCTACAAGACAAAAACAAAGAGGAAAATTCACAATGCCTGTTTGCTGAAATCCTAGAATAACAACTCATGTGAGCACACCCTCATTACAAATATCTGACAAAGAATTTCACGGTCTGCAGAGCCAGTGACACTGGTTTCTGGGGGAGTGTGTTCAGACGTCACATGAGCCCACTTCACATGGCGCAATTTCGCTTGCAAATTTACACCTGTGACGTCAGGCACTGCAGCTTCCCCTATGCCTTTATTTCACTGCACAAGTGACGTCGCAACTGCAAGATCGCAAGTAAAATCACACCATGCGAATCAGGTTTACAGTGTTCTGACAGCATGTGTTACTTCATATCAGAAGATATATATATTTTTACCAAAGTAAACCATTCAGTTAAAAGTTACGACGTGTCCTACCCAGATCTTCCTTCATTTCGTCCGTGTTTTTTTGGCGTATTATCCAGTCTTGAGGCATATCGGTGTCAGGCGTATTTTCTTTTATTCGCTCTAGTAGGACTCGGGCAGGGTGGGTAAACAGTCATGTCTCAATAATTATGGATACTCTGCTATATAAAAAACATTTTTGGGGACCAACCAGGTAAATACCTGCATTTTGTTATGTTGTTATGCACAGCTCACATTATGGACGCTTTCGGGCGCGAACGGTGGTGTCCATTTTCATGAGACATCACTGACAAATTCCCTAGCGTTGAAATTAATGACTCCATGCTCTGAAGCCACGTAGCAGGCTTCTCCACCGAACGCCAATGCATAGTGGTGGCATGGCAGATGTTTGTTGCTGCAGAACACACCACAGGCAAATGATATCCAATGTGGACAATCATGGATATTTCACATTAGAATGAACCAACAAATAGACCTACATGTTGTCACAGATTTCCAACGATTCTTGTTCTTTGTTGGTTTCCGTTTTGAGTAAAATGCACGAGTGCCAAAAACAGGAGCTCAGAAGGGAAAAAAAAGAAAAAAAGAAGGAAGGCGGAAGTTGCGCAGAGCTAGGCTTTGGTGGTTGGAACAACAAGCAAGGCTTCAGTGGTGTGGGAGGTCGAACCCCGAACAAGTCTTCGTCAAGATGGTTGGTGGGTCGTGAGCAAGCTTCGACGATGTGCGTGTGCTTGTGAGTGAGCGCAGTTTGCTATAAGCACCCAAGCCACCACGACTTCTCGGCTCCAACTGGCGGCGCAAGAGACCGGACCACCACCGACATCTTGAAACCATGATTCGACTTTCCTCATCCGAGATGTACGGCGTCTTTGATTTGGCTTCTGTTCCGTTTGTTACGCTTTCAATGCTCTTGTGATTTTCTTGCCGCGGTTACGAAGAGCGAAATGCTTGCAAGATGTTATTTTCCTTTAATATTTTTTTTACCAGCGTGTGTGCGTCCTGTGCGCCTTTTCTTTACTTTTGGATTTCATAACTAATAAATAGTGTTCCGTAACACCAGGTACGACTCGCTCTCAATTCCTACCGCCTCTAAGGAAGTCCATCATCTAGGCTTGACCCTAGCACCTGGACAGTGGTCCAATTCAAACTACAAGTTTGTCTGTTCATGGCATCTTTTCCAACCGAACCTGTGACAATCTGGCATTCACGACAAGACTTGAACCTGCCGCAAGTCAGTCACAGGTTTGGTTGGAAAATATCCCATAAACACAAACTTGTACAGTTGACTCTCGTTAATTCAAAATCTCTTAATTCAAACTTTCGGATAATTCAAACTAACGTGCAGGTCCCATCCTATGCGTCTCTATGGGAAGAAACTCCTGATAATTCAAACTTTGCTTTATTGAAACAAATTTTCGGCCCCCCTCGAGTTTGAATTAAAGAGAGTCGACTGTAATTTCATTTGGACCGTTGTCCAGGTGCTAGGGCCACACCTAGGCGATGGACTTCCTGAGAGGCGGTAGGAATTGAGAGTGAGTCGTGCGTGGCATTACGGAACACTATTTAATAGTTATGAAATTCAGAAGTAAAGGAAAGGTGCACAGGACGCACACACAGTCGTAAAAAAAGAATTGAATAAAGGAAAATGATATATCTTGCAAGCGTTCCACTCTTCATAACCGCGGAAAGAAAAACACAAAAGGTTCGAAAGCATAACAAAAGGAACAGAAGCCAAATCAAAGATGCCATTGAGTTCGGAGGAGGAGGAGAGTCCAATTATGGTCCCAAGATGTCGGTGGTGGCTTCGGTGCCTACAGTGCCACACAGCGCTCACTCACAAGCACAGGCACATTGTCGAATACTTGCTCGGGGCCCACCAACAGTCTTGACGAAGCCTTGCTTGAGGTTCAACCACCCAAACCCCCGAAGCCTTGCTTGCCGTTCCACTGGCCATAGCGCCGATGCCTTGCTTCGCATTCCACCACAATCACACCGCGCGTGGGTTCAACCTTCTTTCTGTTTGTTCCCTTCCTCCGAGCTTGTGCTTTTGGCGCTCGCGCATTTTGCTCAGATTGGAAACCAGCAAAAACAGAACAAAAACCGTTGAATTCTGTGAGAGTTGTCATGGCTTTGAATGTCTAAAGGGCAAAGTTGACATTTCCAACAAAACTTGAAATAATAGGGCATGTGGAGAAGGAGACAAAAAGTTTTGTGTCACTGGAGCCCACAAGATCTCTGAAAGCACTTTGGGTAAACTACTCAAGAAACGGTGTGACATAGAAGCACGACAAAACACATTCTGATGCACAACATATTAAGACACCAAGAAAACACTACAGAGGAGGTTTAGAGATGGGGGCAAGCGACATTCCTATATTGGGACAAATCTTCTAAAGGAATGTGAAAAACTCCTTTTACTCTTGAAGTGAAGAATCTTTTAAAAGAATGTGAAAGATTCCTTTTAACTTGATGTGAAGAACTTCACTGCAAGTGGATAGCTAGATTACCTTAAGGGCCACCATGGCATAGGAAATAAGACAATCTAAGGGATGGATAGATGGATGCAAACGGCTGTACCTTTTGTAACGGGCAGTAGTGCCAGTGATTGTGATGGGACTATTGTGGTGGCAGTGCCAGCGTCGAAAGAGAGTCAATGGCTCAACAATCAAGTGAAGCCAAGTATGAAGCCAGAAATAGTTAAATGCCTTGCCTCGGAAATGTGCCTGCAGTGGCGAAAGCATCCCTGGCAAGCGATTCACAGTTCTCATGGCAGCTAACAGAACAAGGCCCAAATTAAGCAGCTTTTGAAAACCAACACGGATGGCACCAGAAAACTCTATCCTTATTGGTGGGAAAGTTTAGAATGCCAAATAGTATGAAGAACTTTTGCAGTAAAACCATCATATATGTATGAAACACGAAATCATGGATGACTCGGGATCTCTTTGTCTGGGTCTTTGGTGGCTCGTGGACTGGGAAGCCGAGTTTGTAAATAACTGTCCCAGCGTGTGCCTACTTGGTGACATGTGCCGCTTAACACTATCCAGTTCAATTCTAGCAGCCCAACTTGACATCCAAGCTACATCTGTTAGACCAAGGCATAATTCAAAGGTAGTCTAGACTGCGTTTACCATTTATAAATGTCCAAGCACGTCTGTGATTTAGCCCATCCAGAGGCTTTCGGAGACGGTCACAAGAGCCAGCAGCTTGCTTGGGCAGCTCACTGTCAGCCACTCTGTCCCTCCATGCACCGTGCCACCTTCATGAGCTCCCACTGAAAAACAAAAGAAACAGAATCGCAAATTATAACTGCAATAAGAACATCTCCGCAGCAGATGCTACGGTATGGTGCCTAAAATGCGCCTCCTACTGGTGCGTTTAGCGTTCTATACCACCCATGTACCAAAAGTGGTCTCTAAGTGACAAAATTAAATGACACCACACAAGCCGGCATGTCATGCTGTCGGATGTTGCGGTCCTGGCAGCTGGTCGTAAAACTTCCGGCAAAACATATATAAGCTAACACAACCGTCATTGTCCTAGCAACATTCAAACTCCTGGCTGATAAAGCTTCCATGAACTGTCAAGCTGAGGGATAACGTTCCCCTTCCCCTCCTTTTTCCAGCAGACACTACCTCAACTGCCATGATGTTCACAGCCCGGAAAAGATCCCCTAGAAGTCCATTCAGGAGCAATTGGGGTAGCTATAAAGACAGGCTCTTGCACTATGAAGCCATTCCACAAATCTGCCATAAGCAGCAGCAGTTCAATGAGAGTATAGAAGTTTGCCTTGTAAATACACTTCGAGATGAGGTTGTATCTCTGGATTCTACCAAGACTCTAGTTTCCAGCAACGATTTATGTCAGCAGGCCGGCCGAGTTGCTCAGTAGAAAGGTGCATGTGTCACACCACACGAGTCTTTTGTTTACATTCAGAGAAAGGAAGGCTGAATTTCCCTGATCGATGCTGATTAGAGTGGAAATCTTCGGACTTTTCCAATTGCCAAATTCCTCAACAATACCAATTTTTCAGCTCATAGACACCCCGCACAGGGTTGAGTTGAGTACTATCGGTCATTAACAACTGCATGAATTACCTGTACACATATGCGGTGAATATGCTAAAGCCCAATTTATTCTAGTAACACACAACACCATAAAACTACTGTAAAACACTGAGCGGCGGAGTAAGCACCCAACCCCTACTTTTGAAACATATCAACTCATCTAAGGACATATTAAAGCCTATTCCCCTATTTTAAGCAAGTTAAAAAAATATATGAAAGAGACATCAAGCACCCTGTCAGCATGGGGATAGAACGAGTAGAACGGCAAAGCAGGGGAGAAGTACGAGGGGTGCAGAATCGAAGAGAGTTAGAAAGTGATATACTTGGGGACAACGTTCCATGGCAATGGAGCTAAAGCTAGAGAGCCAAAGTACACCGTTTCACTGCATAACTGAATACAGTTCAACCATAATAATTTCCTAGGTGGAACTTAACCAATTAAAAAATATGTCAAATTGTTTGACTTTAGAATGTTAGCATAACATTAGCCAGGATGTGCCAAACCTATAGAATTTCCTTTTTAGCTATTTTGTGTTTTCTTGGTTTAAGTTCACCCTAGGTTTTCTAGCTCCCTGCAAAATTAAGATGGCATCTTTAAGATGGCATCTTTATCATGTGTATCTTTGGGCATCATCAGTGTGGTGTATTGTTGGTACACTCCGAGAGCTTAACCCTTTGTTTGACGTGCAAGATTTTTACGAAGTTTGGCAATCAAGAAATCTTACAACAAACCAAGCAAGCAAATGGTGTGCAACGTGTATGACAAGTGGGACAGTTGGAACCGGGACTCCTAGTTGTTTCCGTATACCGGTTGGCTAGCAAGCTCACTGGTGTGAGTGAGCAGGGGTGGGGATCGAGCTCAGGACCCCTGGGTTCTGCAGCGCAATCCTCGCAAAACATTTTCTGAGCTGTGGTGTGCCAGCGACCCCCTAGGGCCAGCCATAACTGAATGCGATCCAAATGGAATGCGACTTTGCGTCATAGAGTGTGCGTGCTTCTATTTCGGTATATTCCGCCCGCGCAATAATTTTTCAGCACCAAAAGAGTTTACGGATAACTGACCTCAAAACGCAGCAGCACTCATGAAATTCGTTCATGTGGCAATTTGGGTCAGTTAGTTCATGATCATAGACAAGCGCCGTAAAAATAGAGAAGGTCAAGAAGTTGACGTAAACATTGGCGCACTCGCACATAACATTTATTGGAAAAACAATCTCTTACATTGCCGTGAAAAATGTCAGTCATGATTACAACCGGTGTAGACCTCTATCATGAAACTCATATTCTTTTGCTGATAAGGTTATGGATGTGTCACTTGTACAACTCGTGCCTTTGGCTATAATATCAAACAACTTGTGTAGCTTTCCAGATACTTTATCTGGGTATCTGGCCAAAAATTTGGTGTCATTAAATGACGGGAAGCAAGGGCAGCAGCTGATGTGCGTGGTCGCTGCACCTGTCCCTACTGAAAAAAAACATTTGAAATTCAAACGGGTGGCAAACTGGTCGCCCGTTTGAATCAAACCTGTCGATCCGTTTGGATCAAACGTGATTATGGGATACGGGTACCCGTTTGGAAACGGTACCCGTTCGAAACGGTACCCGTTTGATACAGGTGCCCGTTTGATACGGGTGCCGTATGGTACGAGTACCCGTTCGACATGGCACGTGACCACACGTTTGAACGTGCCCTTCGAAATTGGAAATTATGCGCTACCCCTAAATGGGTATCGTCTGGGAGGTTGGTTATCTTAAACATATTTAAGACGTCCGGAAACTCATAAACGTATTTATAACATGGAGAAAACACGTAGAACAAATGCACTCGCGTAGGTGCTTGTAAGCGGACAGGAAAACCGACACAAAAGATTGTTTTCAATTCTCCTCGAAGTTTATTACCTCTTCTGTAGACAAGTACAAACGTGCAAGCGATCTGTGAACACTATACAGGTAGACTTTCGGGGAAATTATTCTCCTGGTTGCCGCGCGAATAAGCGCTGCATAATTCTTTAGATAATTTAGAAGAGTACGCGTAGAAGAACGGTCAATCGTTGCCAACACGTAGCTTGCAGTGCACTTACCATAACAATAGCGGACTTGAAAGAGGTAATCCGTGATATTTGTCGACACGGTCAAAGCAGGACAACCACACAAACACAAACGAGAGGGAACGGCTCCTTGGAAGTTTCAACACGATGCGGCGCACAAGCTGTCCTTTGCCGAACCCAACCAAACCGCGAGAATTTGCGACTTCTTTGAAGAATCGCTCGTTGCCGACATACACGTGGGTCTTTTCGAACACTGATAGCTTTGGTGCACATCCAATACGTTGTCGAGAGACATCCCAATAAGACCGCAGGGTTAGGCGACAGATTGAAGCAGGTAGGACGAGCGAACTTCGAGCAGCAACTGACAACAAGCAGACAAAGAAAAAAGCGGCTGCAAGGCGCGCCCTTCCGGATCTCGATGCTTATCAGCGTGTAGCTCGCGCGCTGCTGTGGGTCACGTGACAGGGGTGACAAGAGAGGAGGGAGGGGGCGAGGTCAAGGCGCTGGGACCACCGGGACAACCCCTCCCCCTCTCCCCAGGCATTCCAGGGAGATGCGTTTTTGTAGTCCCGAAGTACAAACACGCGCGCGCGCGCGCGCGCTCGAACTTTGGAAATGGCGGCGGGGCTGCCAGAAGCTCGGCTTGCGCCCGAGCGAAGAAAGAACTCAGCGCAAGCTCGTAGTTTGAGTGGTGCAACGGCGGGCGTGCTCTCGCAATGCTCGGTGTTCTTGCAGCCGCGTGTACGCGTCCTACCTTCGCTGCGTCTTGAATTAAAGTGAAACGGAGTCTAGACGTACATTCTTTCACGCGGTCGCGTCTTCTGCGAGAGAGATTCGAGCTGAATAAGTAAATTGAGGCAACAAATATGGACAAAGTATTAAAGGTCTGTCAAAAATATCGGCTCACCAACGTCGCGCGTTTACGTAAAACAAAACAAAAAAAAAGGTGTTAGTTTTAGTTCCAGTATAATCGAAAATCAGCGCAATTGAAATATACATATAATTACTTGCATTACGCGGACGATCTGAAATCGATGAACCGGCGCTCCCAGCCTTCCGGAAAACATTGGCTGCCACGGCTGAAACGCTAGGCGTGCCCACGCCGCCGATCTGTACGTTCTATGTCAAACGGGCTCCGGAGAGCCGTTTGATTAAACCGGTGCAGTTTGCAACATGGTCGCCGGTTTGAGCAAACGTGCGACAACTTTGCCCAAACGAGTCGCCCATTTGCCCAGACGAGCGACCCGTTTGCCAAATAGGTGACCGTTATGGCTCATACGGGGGACCCCTTTGAGCCATACGGGCGACCCCTTTGACAAACTGGTGACCAGTATGGTTAAACGGTTACCGGTATGGACCCGTTTATTTTCATATGGGCGCCAAATTGTTTTTTTCAGTAGGGGTGGCCCTTGGAAAAGACAAATGCAAAATTAAACACTGCAAAAAATTCACAGAATGCACAACCAAAGTTGTGTACGAAATCCCAATGTCATATGGTTCTGTGTACACAGGTCAGACAGGCCTATGTATTAATGATTGCGCCCGCGAACATGAGGTGGCGACACGAGCAACCTCCATCAGGACATCTGGCCACACACTGCAGACGCTGCTCTTGCTCCCAGTCATTTAATGACACCAAATTGTGGTCAGATAACCAGATAAAGAATCTAAAGAGCTACACCAGGCATTTGAGATTAAAGCCAAAGACACCAGGTGTACATGTGACATATCTATAGCTTTATCGGCAAAAGGATGAGTTTCTTGATAGAGGGTTACACCAGTTGTAGTCATGACTGACGTTTTTCACAGCTATATAAGAAATTTTGTTTTTAATAAATGTTAGTTGCGTGCCAAATTTTTGTCTGTATTTTTCCGGCGCTTACTACGATCGTGAAATTCGTAGCTTTCAATGAATCGACACTGCCTATCTACGTCAGCTGAGAGACAAATAAAATTCTAAGAGAACGACCACGGTGAGCTTTACCTTGCAAGTCTGTCTGAGTGCTTCAGTCAAAGCGTTGGCTTACGTTTAGAAACGGGTGACACATTCAGAAATAGATGTGATTATGCCTGCATGCTCGGCGATCGCGGTTCAGCTCCCTCAACCGCAATCCTCGTACAAAAACATGCACTGTAGCAACTGCATGGTTGACACGCCGAAACCCAAACTGAAACGAAGACCAAAAAAAAAAAACTATTTGGTGCACAAACACAGAGCCATTAGCACTGCCTGCCTCCTCCCTCCCTAGCTTCTCCTTCATTGCCAAAGAAAGTTGTGCCCAAGAAAAGATGGGTTGCATATTTTTTCTAACTCAGAAGAGTAAATTTAAGGCTTTATAACAAAAACAAGCAAATGCGTAAGCAACCATTTTTTAGAATGTTACTTTGTAATCAAAAAAGAAAAGAAAAAAAAACAAGACACGTTGTTTTTACGTGTTTGCACAGTCAACTAGCTTTGCAAATGGCAGCTATTCGTCATTCCGTGTTCAGACCAAGGGACCACCCGACCATGTACAACTTTGCTTTATTACCTACTCTATCCGCCAGCTCTCCATGATCATCCCCAATTTAGAGTGGGTGCTTGCTCAGTATATTATAGTTTGTAGTGGTACTATTTGTTTAGAAAAACAAAATGTCAGATAAATACCAGTAGGGCTCTGCAGAAGCAGTGCATGGGCCCCATTTCACCTTTTACAAAGCATCCTGTCTCGAATGGCAGCAGAGAAACGGGTGGGGCTGATTCGCCTGGAGCCCTTTGCTGAGTTGATGGCTACTATCCAGACTGGCAGCTGATCGACAGCTTCCAGCCACCTGCAGTTTTTTCTTGATGATACAGACTTCCTGCAATACCATGAATACAAACAAGACTGACATTCTGGAACAAAAGAAAACCCAAAACTTGCTTCACAGATCAACAAAATAACAAGTGCCAACATTACGCTTCTCTTGTTGTCGACAGTGCAAAGACCATGTTGGCACCACCATTAAACTCAACCAAAAAAGGAAAATGAGCTTCATGACGTAATTGCATTAAGAACCAGGCACGTAGCCGGGGGGGGGGGGGGGGGGGGGGGGCATGCCCCCTTCCTTTCCTTGAAATCTTCCATTTTGCTGGGACCTCCTCTTCCCCTCCCCCTAATACAACACTTTGTCATAGGTGCCCCTCCCCCCGAAACAAAATTCTGGCTAAGTGCCTGTTAAGAACAGCGTGCATGTAGAGCTTAGATACACCTTAAAGGCGGACCAGCAGAAATATTCTTCCGCCTGGCGGAAATTCCTCCTCGCCCTCTTTCTTTCGTGTATTGTAGCACGGCGAGGCGAGGGGAAAGGTCCCCTTTTGCGCCGGCTTCTTCTGAGAGGATAAGCCGAGAAAATCTCCATGCTGAGTGACGGGCGATGGGTGCGGCAGCAGCGACCTCGTGACTTACAGGTAGCTTCAGATCCTATCGCGTAATCTGCCCCATTTTTCGGCGCTCACCAAGCCTAGCCCCTCGGGTGTAGGTTTTTGCGGAGCTGCAAGGCTGCGCCCGCGCGCTCACCGAATTTCAGCTGTCGAAGGTCTTTGGTTTTGCCCGTGGCAAAATAAACACATACTTGAGAGCTGCGATGCATCCCCGCACCCATTGAAGGAACGTTTCATAGATATTCTCGGTTGATCAAGGAGCTCAAAAGACATGCGCGAGAAGTGGTGACTTGAATATGTAAGGATGACTTACATCTTTACAAAACATTCCATCTTAAAAAAAAAAGGCTTATCGCGCTCAAAACTGCCTCAAATTAAGATTGATGGAAAAGAAAGCGATGTACCAGGCGCGGGCATCTTTTAGAAGGTCTTTGTTTTCTAGCAACGAGCACAAATATTATGTGCGTAACTTACACAATATGATGGCCAACGAATGTACGTGACATTTATATTTACGCATCCCAGCAACCACATGAGGTGAGAAGACAGCAATGGTGTGTGTCGATACTAAAAAGTTTTAGTGGATCGTCTTTAGCTCTTGGATAACCGCACCCTACGACAATATATAAGCTATAACCTTTCTGTGAGCATTCTTGATTGAGTGCAGCTATCGAAGCGTCTGGTGTTATAGTTCAACGTTGCTTAAATCAGTGCTATAGAACGTGCTGCCACTTTAAAGTATTATTGAGGCATTAAAAATAAGAAATAAATAAATCAAATGTAGCCGATTTTTTTTAACATGATACGCGTTTGTAATTTGTCTTTGCAAACACATTTTAGGTATACTGCCACACAGCACGGACAAACTATTGCCGGTCTTTCTAATTTTGTTTTTTAGAAATAAATTATGTTTAGAAAACTGTCAATGCAACTATCCAACCTAAGTGGCAGAGCTCAGTGCTAGACAATACATGTTGCTGGGCAGAAATAGTAAATAGCGCCGATGTCGCGTTCGGGCTAAAAGTGCCACGTAATGCACGCGTACCGCTATAAGTGCGTCCGTACATTTCATCGAACGCCATTTCATCGAACGCCGTTTCATCAAAGCCGTTTCATCGAAGCCGTTTCGTCGAACACCGTTTCATCGAACGCCGGTTCCTCGAACGCCGTTTCAAAGAAGCCGTTTCCTCGAACGCATTTTCATCGAACAACGTTACAGTGTGTAATATTTAGGAATTTACTTTAATTTTTATACACAACTTCATCTAATTCTCTCCTTTTTTTTTTTCTTTTGTTTCTGTTTTTATATCACTGGGTGCAGTGACGAGATAAGTTCCATCGTGAACATTTCCTGCTTCGAGAAGAAGCCTCCATGAAACAATGACCCCTCTCCATGTCACATAAAACAATTAAAAATGAGGCAAAAACAGAAAGCACGGACACTTAAAAGTGTTCTAAGTGTCTGTCCTTTATTTGCAGCGTCGTGGTTTCAGTCATATATGTATATGAGTAAATATTTTCAGTAAGTCGCATACCCAATTGTTTTTATTTCTTTTTATGCCAATTGCTTTTATCTTTAGTAATTTGACACCACCTTCAAAACAATTTCACAAGTGACTACCTTAGTCTTAACAAATGCAAGGTGAAACATCTATAAAGCACTGTTATGCTCCAAAACTCGGTACAGAGCCATAACAGAGAAATTCGATGAAACGGCCCTTAGCGATTCGATGAAACGGCGTTCGATGAAATGTCCGTTCATTTGATAAAACGACTTTCTATAAAATGGCGAAAAAGTGAGGTTCAGGCTTGGTCGGAGATAGCTACGGTTACACTCGAACGCTTTTTCAGTTCTATCTCGCATATTTAAGCTTCTTGCTCAAATAAACATTGGCATCTGACTTTTCGCTCATCTTGGCCTTTAGCGCGACTGTTAACAAGTTCTAAAACAGTCAAACCAAAAGTGACTTAATTAGCTCAGGATTATAGGTTGAGCGAAATATTTACAAAGTTCGAGGTTCCCTGAGTCGTCTTCTGTATTCAATCCGCCCCCCCCTCCCCCCCCCCCCCCCCCCCCCCTCACCACCACTTCCTTCCTCTAAATAAACAACGTAGGTTATTTTATAAACCTCCAGTAATGGAGCGTACTCGCAAAACGTCTATTTGGCGTAAGAAAATGTAAGAAAGGCCTTGTATAAATGTTCGAGCAATGAACTGGTCTTCTTACTGTGCGTGACACAGCTAGCACGAACACAATATTGATATTTTTACGCAAGGGCCATGCAGAATTTAGTGTAGAACAAATTGATGCCTTGTAAGTTGGTGCCCAACGGAAGCACTCTTTTTACCGAATTGCTTGTTTAAAAATAACAACTTTTCAACCATAAAAATAAAACAAAATAACACCACTTCTTTGGGGGCCACTAAATTTACTGATTCACTCCGTTAGCATTGATTGTGCAGCGGTATGCGTACATTACGCGACACTGTTCGCGCAAACACGACATCGGCGCTTTTTGCTATTTTCCCCAGCATTGTATCGACTCGCACTAAACTCTACCGCTTAGCTGGGATACTCGCATTAACAGTTTCCTAAACATCATTCAGTTCTAACAAGAAAAAAAAAGTGGGAAACACCGGCGATTGTTTGTTTGTGCTAACTGCGTGGCGTAGGGTACCTAAAAGTTTTTTACAATGCTAAATACAATTCTGTGTCACGTTAAAAAAAATTGTCTGCTTTTTCTTTAGTTTCTTTGAGACACACAAATACTTCGAAGCGGCGGCCCGTGCTATGGTACCAATACAAGCAACGTTGAACCATAACACGACACGTTGGACTCGCCAAAAAGGGTTTTAATATTGTCTTTTCCGCTCCATAGCCACACTCGATAAAGAATGTAAAGAGCGAATCTAGCTTACATTTCGTTCTGGGGTACGGACCGTACGGTTATCTAAGTGGCTAAAAGTGACCCACTAAAACTTTCTAAAATTGACATCCACCCTTGATGCCCTCTCACCTCAGGTGGTTGTTGGGAATGTGTAAATATGAATTTCATACATTTTGCTGGCCATTGTTCGAGGCGGGGTTTAGGCCGCACGTCCGGAAGCTTCCTGGCTCGAGACGACGTCCATTCCCCGAAGTGAAGAACCCAGGGGTTCAGTGGAGGTGGGAGACTTGGTAACGTAACGAACGGTTTAATTACATGGTAGCGATACAGTCGTCAAATCCGAGAGAACAACGGAGCAGCCTCGCGCTCCGCCTTATATAGGGTCCGTTTCTCCCTCACTCCCCGCCAGGGCAGCCAGTGCGATACAGCAACCCGCCGTCAAGTGCGACGCAGCAAAGTCCGCCGTCCAGTGCGACGTAGCCAAAGTTCTCCGCAGTTAGGCCATGCCTCTCTCCCTTTCCCGAGCGCACCAACCACCACGCACACACACACGTCCCGCTAACGTCACGGGCGCGTTGAGACTTGTTGCCGCAGGCCCCGTCACGCAGGCGACGGTCCCAGACTCGTCGGGACTCGTTTCGCGCAGGCCCCGACAAGCGGGCGACGGTCCCGGACTCGTCTTGACTCGTTTCCGCAGCGTTGAAACTCGGAAGAAGGTCGCCGAAGGTTCCATTCTTAACACCATCATGTTCCGCGAGTTAGGCACACAACAGGGCATTTTAGTAAATCGTTTTCAAAGGCCCGCTGCCACTTCAGGCGCGTGCTTCAGAGAATGCATCGAAGTGGCAGCGCGACCTTCCGCTAAATATATGTGGCCTGAAAACATAGTCTGCTAAAGTTATCCAATAATTTGTGCTCGCTGCTAGAAAACAGAGAACTTCTAGAAGATTCCCGCGCCTGGTGCATCGTTTTCTTTTCCATCGATCCCAATTTGAGGCAGGTTTGAGCGTGATAAGCCGTTTTTTTAAAGATGGAATGCTTTGTGAAGATGTAAGTCATCCTTACATATTCAAGTCACCACTTCTCGCGCATGTCTTTTGAGCTCCTTGATGAACCAAAAATATCCATGACATGTTCCTTCAATGGGTGCGGGGATGCATCGCAGCTCTCAAGTATGTGTTTATTTTGCCACAGGCTAAACCAAAGACCTTCGACAGCTGAAATTCGGTGATTGCAGCTCCGTAAAACCTACACCCGAGAAGCTAGGCTTGGTGAGCGCCAAAAAATGGGGCAGATTACGCGATAGGATCTGAAGCTACCTCTAAGTCACGAGGTCGCTGCTGCCGCACCCATCGCCCGTCGCTCAAAATGGGGATTTTCTCGGCTTATCCTCTCAGAAGAAGCCGGCGCAAAAGGGGACCTTTCCCCTCGCCTCGCCGTGCTACAATACAAGAAAGAAAGAGGGCGAGGAGGGCTTTCCGCAAGGCGGAAGAATATTTCTGCTGGTCCGCCTTTAAGAAATCCCGGGAAGCTATAAACAAATTAAACAC